ATTAACTCTCCAGCAGATTACATATCTCGTATGAGAGCAGCAAGGTCAAAGAAACCATACCATGTTATTCCGTTGAATTATACTTTTTTCTTCAATTATGAAGCACTTCCAAAGTACACTACCTTCACTCAGACCCGGTAAAAAGGTAAGAGACCCTGTTGTCACCGATATTCGTGGTCTAAAATACTTGCCTAATGAAGAGATGCAGTTTCGACTTGGATACCATGGGATAGCTTACCTCATAGACGAAAATGTGGCAATGAAAATCCACAACCATTGTATTCCTCTCCACGTACTATCGCAAAAACTAAATACGATCATCTCATGGACTTGAAGTCAGTGATAGAACCAGACCACCATGCGTTTTCCGACGAGTTACCGTACGTACCGGATAAAAAAAAACTAAAACATAATCTGTAGATTTTTTTCTTTGTTTGTAATACTGTTTTATACCTTTAATTTTATCAACTTGTATTTACTCAGACTAATAAAATCCTTAGATGTGTTTAATAACTATAATTACTATTTGCATCAAACATTATTAAATTTTGTAAATGGGCGGGTAGCGGGTAGGAACTAATTCTTGGATAGTCCTATCAGGGAAAGTGAATCAATCCCTGCCTTCTGCAGATTCCAGGTGTTTCCTGACCCGGGAAACTAGTACCTCCTGAGGGTCCCTTCTCCCATGGTCACGGATGAAGTCCACAACGGCATCCAGGGCGAAGAAGAAGGTTTCACAACGGTCTGGAGGACGGAAGTTGCAGCCCCCTGGTTTTAGGGCTTGTTTAAAATCGAAGGGTAGGTGAGACTCTCTAGCTGTAGTGGAAGCAACTCGCCTAGGAGAAGGATACTCTGATGTAAAATCCCTGGCCCTCCAGGTTGGGGGTAGAAGCATCGCTCCAACTCCCCGGTACTCATAAAACACGTACAATGTTAAGAAGCCTAACTAAAGCCTCGAAACAAAAGATTGGAAACACAGTAGACGAAAACAGCAAAGAAAACGGTTAATGAATTTTTGTACATGGAATGTGCAAGGTATCTCCCGAAAAACAACAGAAATCATGTCAGAACTCAAAAATGCAGAGATAGATATCGCGGTACTTACAGGAACTAAAAAAAAGGTATGGTTTCTGAAAAGTGGGGTCACTATGACCTGTTCTATACTGGAGTAACTCAAGACCAAAGAGCACAGCAAGGTGTTGCTATTGTTATTCGCAAAACTTTAAGATGATATATTACCTCTTGGGAAGCAATTAATCAGTGATTGGTAAAAATGAACATCACGATAAAAGGAAGCAGAATAGCCATACTAGGTGTATATGGAATTAATGAGGACGCATTGGTCAACAGTAAAGATGCATTTTTCGAACAACTGAACAATGAAATTATAAAAGTAGGAACATCTCGGGATATCATACTTCTAGGAGACTTCAACAGCAGAGTTGAATGGGAATTGAACAACAAAGTGGTAGGAAGACATGGTGAAAATACCAGAAATGATAATGGAACCAGATTAATAACAATATGCACACAAAATAACTTAAAAATATTAAATGGATTTTATCCACATCGCGATATACACAAATACACGTGGATACAACAGACTAGAAATCTAAAATCTATAATAGATTATAGCATTATAAGACAGAAAACTACAATTAAAATACAAGAAGTGCGAGTAGCCAGAAGGCCATCATGTGGCACCGATCATCATCTGCTAAAAGTTAAAACGATACTCCCAAACAGATACGAAAAAGAAAAAGAGCACATCGAGTCAAATCAGTTAATAAAACAAGTACGGTACAACCTAGACAGTTTAAACCATGAGAGTGTAAAGCTACTGTATAAAAAACGATTAGACCAAAAATTAGAAATGGGTAGTTTTGAAAATACCGAAGAGCACTACGAACACATCAAAAGGTCGATTCATTAGCAGAAGAAGCACTGGGGAAATGTGACGAAAAGCATAAAGGAATAAAACCGTACTGGTGGGATGAAGAAATAGAGAAGGAAATTAAAGATAAACGTCGGAAATACCAAACATTTTTAACAACAAAAACAGAAAACGATAAAACAATTTACAAAGAAGCACAAGCCAAAGTAAGAAAAAAGATAACTCAAAAAAGGAACAAATCATGGGAACAGAACTGCCAAAAGATCAACACCTACATAGGAGGTAGAAGAAGCACAGAGAGTTGGAGACTGATTAAAAGTATGAGAAATAATAAGAAAAAAGACGTTATATCACCAATAACAACAGAAAAATGGGACGAATATTTTAAAAAATTACTAACAGAACAAAGACTAGAATTTAGTAACATGGAAAACAACACGATAGGTATACGTATAAATTCATCACGTAGTGAATCAGAGATGGAAGAAATAACCAAATCCCTGAAAAATGGAAAATGCCCTGGTCCCGGTGACATCCCCGCAGAATTAGTGAAAGCCGGTAAGACAAACTCCAGGAACAGTTAAGAAAACTCTTTCAAGACTGCTTGAATGGGGCCGAATTACCAAAAGAATGGAAATTATCTATCATGTCAACTATCCACAAAAAGGGCAGCAAGGATCAGTGTGAAAATTACAGAGGAATTGCGGTAAACAGCACAATAAGTAGGATGTATGGGAAACTTATTAAGAACAAAATAGAAAATGACTATAGAGATTACGAAGCAGAGGAGCAAGCTGGTTTTAGAGCTGGGCAATTCACAGTAGACCACCTGTACTCTATTACGCAAGTTATTGAGAAAAAAACAGCCTTCAATAAAGAAGTTCACCTGGTGTACGTAGACTTACAAAAAGCATATGACAGTGTACCCCTAAGTAAACTATGGTCAACCCTACAGCAAACCAACATTAAGCATGGTCTTATCAAAGCAGTAAAAAGTCTGTATAATGGAACGACTGCAAAAATTAAAACTGGATCAAGGATATCTGAAGGATTTAAGGTCACGAAAGGACTAAAGCAGGGTTGCTGTATTTCGCCTACCCTTTTCAAAATTTATCTGGAACAAGCACTCAAGCTATGGAAAAGAAAATGTAATGGCATGGGAATCCCTCTCAATGACGAGACTACACTGTACACCTTATGTTTCGCTGATGACCAAATACTGATTGCCCAGGATCATGACGACTTGAGTTACATGACTCGGAAGCTAATAGAAGAATATAACAAATGGAGTCTCGAAGTCAACATTAAGAAAACTGAAGCCATGTGTATTGGAGGGACAAAACAGTCCATTATATTAGACGATGGGGTAGAAATTAGAAACTGTGATGAATACAAGTACTTGGGTATGAAGATAACTCAAGATGGAACACTCGATGCTGCTATAAAAGACAGAAACATACAGGGTAGAAAAGCCATATCCATGATGAACGGCATTCTGTGGGACCAAACAATATCTAAAGCGAACAAACAACTCATATACAACACCATACTTAAAAGTGTAATCACATATGGCAGTGAAGTTTGGCCAATGAAACAAAGAACAGAGAAACTGTTACTAGCAACAGAAATGGACTTCTGGAGAAGAGCAGCAGGCAAATCAAGAAGAGATCGGATACCAAATGAGAGAATACGAGAAATGATGGGAGTCAAGCATACAATAGTTGATGACATAAAAACAAAACAGTTAATATGGTACGGCCATGTACAGAGAATGCCAGATGACAGGATTCCAAAACAGATTTTGACGTGGACACCACAAGGGAGAAGGAAAAGAGGAAGACCGAGAAGAAGCTGGAAAGAGGGAATTGAAAAATAACTAGAGGAAAGAGAAATCCCTCCAGGCCTATGGTTGAATAGAGAAGAATGGCGGTTAGGAGTCGGAAGGCGTCGGAGAACGCTGTAAACCGATAATAGTAGTAGTAGTAGTAGTAGTGGCTAAATTTATCATTATATTATTTAAATCTGCATAGATCAACGCTTTTGTGTTTGGCTAATATCTGTCATGTTGCATTATTTGAACTAGTAACACCTGCCATGTGTCAAATTAAAATATTTTTAGCTAAAATTATTTTAAAACTATTATTTAACCAATATTTACGATCCCCACATTGTATAAACGTATGCAAATAGTATGATCAGGAAATAAAATAAGAACTAAGGGGTTTGAATAAAAAGTTGAACAGTTTTTTTCCTCTCCTGTAAAATTTGGGGTTCAACACATAGCACATATTGCACGCGCACGATATAACATTAAACGTTATTTACCGAAATATTACGACGTTCACCGAATTAATCATCATCATCACAGTCATTAACATCTTAGTAGATGTGTTGTGGTTCATAATTGGACTTCAGCAGCTCGGACAGTTTGATTGATAATATTTCTCCACTGGTCGCGGTCATCAGTTATATGTATTGCCTCAGTATACTGTTTATTGAGAAGCTTTTTAGTAATGTCCGCCCATCGCTGTGAAGATCTTCCGCGTTGGCGTTGAGTCTGAGGCCTTCCTTGGACCACCAACCGCTCCATTTTGTGATCACTTCGATGGATATGGCCAAAGAACTTTAAAATTCTAGAGTAAACGGTACTGGAGAGACGCTGATCCGGTTTAATTTCATCCAGAACCGAGATATTTGTACGGCGAGCCGTCCATGGAATTCGAAGCAGGCGTCTCCATGTCCACATTTCAAAGGCGTCTATACGTCGTCGATCTGATTCTTTGACTGTCCATGTCTCGCATGCATAGTAAAATATGGAAAAGACCAGAGTTGAAACGAGTCTCTTTTTGTTTGTCATAGTAATGTGACGATCACGCCAGACCCCGTTTAGATAATAATACCCCCACCGAATTAATACTTCACCTTTATTCTAACCGACATAAATTTGTTATAATATAGAGGCATCTGTAGGTAATGGAGATATCATACATAAATATAAAAATAGAAAACAATCGACAATCGACAGCAAGTTAAGCATCCATATTAAAAGTTTAAGTAATCATTGTGTATTGTACGTATTCTAACAAATATAAATTTAAAAACTTACCCCTAACGTTGTTATACCTCAGCTGCACGGGCTCCAGATTCCCATTATTATAGCATACTATAGCAGTGAACTCCTCCCTTGTAGGAAACAGGAACGTCTCCAGGCAATAATATTCATATCCAATTCTAGGCATTAACGGATCGAAGGGTTTATTTAAAGTACCGTTCCACTGCAAGAAAATCCTATCAATATCAATGAGTGTGGACAACTTTAAATTGTCGTGTGTGGCACATGCATTGCTGTGGATCACATTTAACATGATAGTTCGATTAACTATTTCCTCCATTCCATCATATACAGTAACATTAAATGTGTGTCTAGGAGAGTCTACGCATTGTTTTCGTTGCAACACCTGATGTTCTGGGCAGCATTTTTTAATGCAAGGGGTGTCTCTTGTACATGCCCTCAACCTATCGCCGGTATTGTGGTTCAATATGACCTCACTAATCACCGGCACTATGCAACATGTAATTAAAGCACAAACAGTCAATTTATTTGCTGCAAACATTACAGTATCGGAAGATGATCACGTTAAAACTAATTACAAATTAGCAGTTAACCGGATGTATTTTCGTTACCAAGTTTCCTTACTGATAAAATTATTATATTTCTTTCCTTAAGTTCGTGGGCGGGTCGATTTATTTCTGTCTGACAAAATCTATTTCGTTGTAGCTATTGAAATATTTGCCGGAATTCTTCGTTATCTAAAAATAAATTTAACAGAATCAAAATAAAATTAGGTAAGTAGTTGTTGGTTTAGGTAAAAATCAACTAGATTCTATTTTTCTTAATTCATTATTTTGCTGTTTTCGTCACAACAGGAAAATCGCTTAATTGGCACCAGATGATTAATATTATCGTTAATGTAGTGTAACACAATGAATAATGACCGCCTGTAGAAAAACTGCAGTATATTGTTGTAATTAAACCGTAAATTAAACTAGGAGGACCAATACTGAAACGGCTATAAAGGAAATATAATATTTGCTTTTATTAACACTTTAACTCCCAAGCAATAATTTAAAAAACTTTATGCCAACCCATTATACTTTTTTGATATAAGGACATGAAGATTAATGTAAAGAACAATTAAAACACATTTTTGTTAAAACACGAAGGGGAACCTGGCCTAAAATGACATACTACTTTTTTGTCGTCCAATAACTTTTTTATTTTTTTAATAAAAATTTAAAAAAACATAAATGTTGTTCATTGTTTGGAAGTAGAACAGATCATGGAACATAAAACTCTAACAACACAATATTTTTTAATTAAAAAACGGAAACAAAATAAACGTTGCTATGTCATTTTATCCAAGTATATTCGGCTAAAACGACACACTCACATGGATATGTCATATAAACTAAATTAGCAAAGTTCACAAATAAATTTTTTGCACGATTTTGAGATACCAGCACAATCACAGTTTGCCCATTTTGAGCATTTTTGGCACCTAATCCAGAATTCTTTGGACCTTGAATGGGAGTACAAACAAAATATAAACATGGAAGATTATTTTCGTCTTCGTCATCATCTGACACAATGGTCTTTGTTTCCTCCTCGCGATCTTGTGTCGTCATTAAAGTCAGATTCTTAATTGCTCGCTTTGCAGCTTGACGTTTTTCTGTAGCTCGCTTCTCGAGTGCTTTGGCTTTTTGTTCTTTCATATTTGGGGTAGCCGTAGAACTTTTGTTCCTTCTGATTTTCTTTTTTTGGAGCGTGACTGGACACCTGAACACGATGGAAGAGGTGAAATGTCAAGTGGACGAATACCAGGATTAATTGAAGAACAACTTTCAAGTGAGTTTGGTTTAGGTGTAGAAACCGGTTTGTTTCCTTGATCTGGAAAATCTTGATGTCGCAAAACATTATCATTCTCTTCTTTTGACTCTGTTAGGGGTTGAATTGCAACTTCTTCTTGAATATCTGTTATTTTGGAAGGATTAAATAAATAATCAGGGAATATGTCGGGATTAAGGGGCCAAATTCCAGTCTTTCAAAATCCACTAACGGCATTTTGGTGTGTAGCTGCTTTTCCATACGCTGTAGCAAATAATCCTCCAACTTGGTATTGCGAAACTGTTCTGCCTGGATGACACTTCATCCACTTGGTAACTTCTTGATCATAGTAGCTCTTTAATGGACCAAGGAAACATACATCTAACGGCTGTAGACGATGGATACAGTGCGGCGGAAAACACAATATCACTATTCCATGTTCTTTGGCAAAAGTTAAAACATTAATGTTTTTATGGCTCGCATGCCCATCAAGCAACAGCATAATCTTGTCTTCTATAGAAGGATTAGAATATTCTTTAAAATGTTTCATCCATGTTAGGGACACTTCGCCTGTCATCCATCCTGTTTCCTGTGATATTCCTAAAGTTCCTAAAGGCGCTTCATCTATTAATTCTTTTTTCCAATTTTTCCTGGGGAATATAAGTGTTGGTGGAACATAATTCCCCACTGAGCTAATGCAAGCAACCATCGTTATGTGCTGCCCTCTTTCCGCACTTGTAATTAGGCCCACTTGCTTCCGACCCTTGGTTGCAAATATTTTGCCGGGTTTTTGAACCGTGGATAAGCCTGATTTATCCACATTCCATATGCGTGTAGGATTAATTTTGTTATTTATAATAGTATCCTCTAAAAGTTTTAAAAAATTGTCTATTTGCGGCCTGTTGAATGATTGCGCTCTTGCTGCAGACGTGGACTCGGGTTTTCTAAGGGATATATCGGACTGTCAACTCCGATATACTGTAGCGATTAAAGAATGATAAGCCTTATGAGCCACACTTTGAAAATATTTCTACGCATCATCCACAGTAGAATCAGAGATAAATGTGAAGAAGACCAGGATGAAACACAATTTGGCTTCAGAAATGGACTGGGAGCTCGGGACGCCCTCTTTGCACTAAATGTATTACTGCAGAAATGTCGAGATCAAAGGAAAGACGTCTTTGCTGTATTTATTGACTATGAAAAGGCTTTTGATCGAGTACATCATCACAAATTAATTACAATATTAAAAGATAAAGGAGTTGATAGTCAAGACATACGATTCATAAAGTTATACTGGCGTCAAACAGCGACAGCTTGCGTAAACGGAAAATCAACAGAAATATGTAAAATACAAAGAGGTGTCAGACAGGGTTGTATACTATCCCCACTGTTATTTAATTTATATTCAGATAGAATATTTAAAGAAGCGCTGCATAATTTGGAATGGGGCGTGAAAGTTAATGGAATTCTGATAAATACAATCAGACATGCAGACGATACAGTTATTTTAAGTGATGACATGAATGGACTACAATGCCTTTCAAATGCCATTGATACAGTGGGAAGAGAGTTTGGCCTAAACATAAACTGTTCAAAAACAAAACACATATGTGTTTAGCCGTTTAGCACATCAACATGCACGATTATATGTTGATGGTTATATAATTCAAAGAGTGTCCAGTTTTAATTATCTTGGTTGCCATATTACTGAACAACTAGATCAAGAGATAAAATGTAGAATCGAGATAGCCCGCACGACATTTTTAAAAATGAGGTCATTCTTCTGTAATGATAACTTGCAACTTCAACTTCGAAAGCGCATGGTTAAATCCTACATTTAGTCAGTCCTCTTATACGGTGTCGAAGCATGGACATTAAAAATATCCACCATTAATCGTCTGGAGGCCTTTGAAATGTGGCTGTACAGACGTATACTAACAATTCCATGGACGGCTATGCTGACAGTCCTTGAGAGAGCAAATGGTGCTCGCGAGCTGCTTGATAACATCAAATGTAGAAAGATGGCCTATTTTGGACACGTAGTAAGGGGAGACCGATATAATATTCTTCAACTTATTATGATGGGTAAAATCGAAGGACGCAGAGGAGTTGGTAAAAAGCAGGCCTTTTGGTTGAAGATTATCAGGGAGTGGACAGGAATAAGAAAAGCTGAGCAACTCTTTAGAATAGCTTGAGACAGAGACAGTTTCGCCATGTTAATCGCCAATGTCAAGGGGACTTGATAGGGCACGTTAAGAAGAAGTTGAGGTGGGATTGCGGAGAAGTGGCTAATATTATTATAATATGATATGATATGATATCTTCTTCTTCTTAGCCTTCTGTCGTCCATGTTTGGACATAGGCCCCTCCCAACTCCTTCCATCAGTCTCTATCCTGAGCAACATATTTCCAATTTGTTCTGGCTATTCTTTTAATGTCATCAACCCATCTCATCTGTGGTCTTCCTCTTGGTCGTTTACTTTCGTAAAGCCTCCAATGATATATATATATATATATATATATATATATATATATAATATATATATATATAATATATAATATATATATATATATATATATATATATATATATATAGAATGAAAAATTCATAACTTAAAACACCATACACGCGAAACAAATATATGGAAAAAGCTAATATGCCTATATTAGGAAACTGCGACAGAAAAGAAGGTATATTTAGCAGTTCTGAATTATCGTAGAAGCCTGTGTTTAATTTCCTACCTTATTTAAAATAAAGAAAATTATCTTTACTTACTTATTGATAGATATGGATAGTGATAGGCTACCAACAAAAGTTATTGTTAAATAAGTTCACTTATCACTATGTGGTCAATATATGCCAATCACTGCATTATAACAAAATCATTTTGTTTGTAACGTTTTTACACTATTTTTATGCACTTATGCACAAGTAGTAGAAAATATTCTACAGAATAATTAGTAATGTAACCAATCTATAAATAAATCTTAATATTATTCAGTAAAAACGTGTTTGCAATAATTTTCTTGGTAGTGATATTAGTAACAGTAGTATTTCATTTTTTGTAGCTTTGAACGACGTATAAATATCGTATATCGAATCAAATTAGACTGGTAATATTTAAAGATACTCAGGGAGTCCCAAAATTCTTGTCTGAACTCATTGTGTCAATATAATAGTAAATTTTTAATAACTGCACCGATTTGTCCGAAATTTTTGTAGTCGGTAGGAAATTACTTAAAAAACATAAGTTATATAGTATCGATGAGTGCTTCTACTCCCTTAGTGCTTGGCGCCCTATCTGGGGGGTTGAAATTTTAACACTAAAAATAACCCCAAGAATTGATAGAGAATTGATAGATCAATACTTTTTGAGTTATTCGCACTTGAAAAAGGATACTTCTAATATGTAATAAACAAAAGTAAAGCTTATAAAAAACCAAAGAAATTAGTTTTTTATTGGGTTTTCTAAGTAAAACACTATGCGATTTAGAATTGATGATGACTTTTTATTTTTGGGCTACCATACTCGATATGGTAGATGATAAACAGTTGCAAACGCATAGTTTGGAATTCACCAAATCATCCAGAAGCATACATAAAAAATATAGCCGAAATTTTACAGAGTAATAATCCCAAACCTCTAAGTATCGACGATCACAATAAATTAATAACAGACTCGGTTAGAAATGCACAACTCAAATTTTCCAAAAAAAAATGATACC